CAGCTATAGGTAAATTGAACTACGGTACAGGAGCATTAGCAGGATACCGAGAAGATAGGAGAAATATGTCGATAGAAATATGTCGAAAGAAATCTTTGTATTACGGTGCCTCTGGTTTTATTTTTACGTCCCAAGTTACGATTCTACATTCGCTAATCTGACAAAGGAAGGAACAGACTTGATGTATCAGATATACGGTGATGAAACTGCTGTACAATACGCAGATTTCATATTAGACTTTGCTAAAGATTGTGAAGATACGTTAACTGTGGTCCATGATCCGTTGGTCATTCATACAGGAGGAGATTATAGAAAGACAAAGAAGTTCCTCGAAGGAAATTGTAGACTCAAAGAGGAAGAAGAGAAAGATTAGCATTTATTAGAGAAACATATGCAATATGTTAATGGCAATCCAGCTTTGGATTGTGTAAAAGTTTTATCGATCAGTTGAGAACGCTATCAGAATTAGGAATTGTTGTTCTTTCTTGGAAAATATGGGTAATTATATTCAAAAAATTGAAGTATCTGTAAGTAACAGCAGTCTCAACATTACCTTTTTTCTTTTCATGAAGAGGAACTGAAGATGAATGAGGAACACCCAGCTTTACAGAGTCGATTGGACCACACGTCGCTAGAGTTAGGAAGTTTGAAGCAAGTACTGCACGAACGGTTCTTTGTCCCACCGCTTGCTCACTTGTCCAATGCTCCTAAACCATCGGAGGCGGAAGCTGAGTGATCAACCCGGACAAAATTACGGATATTTAAACAGAGATAGAGAAACTTCTTCCTTCAGCTACCGCTCCTGTTGATGGTTTGCGAAGCGCTCTCGAAAATAATCTCTTGTCGTAAACTAACGGCAATCAAGTTCCGTCGCATCTGTTGCCGGATCAGTCACCAATTCAAAATACTAGTTTGCTCTCAGTCCAACCGGTCAAGAAAATAGACTGATCAATATTGTGAATACGAATCAACTACCTATTCAGGTACAAATCAGTCTGACGCATAATCCGACACCTCCGTATTTACTGAGCATATCAGAAACGTCTGCGATTCCAGATTTAAAACCAGATTTCAGAGAATTTTTAGAAAATGATTCTACATTATGACATTCACCACAGAACTATAACAAAACATTGGAGGACATTTTATACGTGTCTTAGTGAATATGGTTCTCGAGATATATGATTTTTATGAAAATTTACTTGGTAAATATTATACATTTTATTAAATATATGTAATGCCAAGCGGCTAATAAATAAATATGATCTTATAACGTAATTCAACTACGTTCATTTTC